GGGGGGATGAAAAATATAATTGAATTCCACGTTAAGGCGAAGAATACGCATAATATTCAAACACCTGATGACTGCGCCATCACATAATAATAATATAATATGTGAATATTAACCGGTATATCGGTAGAGCGATTTTTCCGTTTTCGCCTTTCGGTATGCGTAAGTCGGGCACTGCGATGATAAAAATTATGAAAAAAATAATACGTTTTTCGAGGGTTGGCTATAGTGGGGCTTGACGGGACACGTGAGGAAGCAGTCATCCATTATCTTATTCGTATAGAAAAAAGGGCGATATACGCGTTTCACCGCCATTTCTATTCCGAAACTTTATATATTGGTAGTATACCTAACCTGCTTATATACTGCTGCAGGAGAGATAGGTACGCGTATTCGTTGTTATCGGTTTACTATTCAATGTAATTGTGGCCCAAACTATTCGCAAATTCGCAATTGATTGATGATGATCTATCTATCGCTTAGACGTAAAATTAAAAGATTAAAAACCACGCAACCAATCGATAGTAAACAGATCCTTGTGAATTTCGTGAGAATTTCAGTGTTTTTTTTTTGCCACTACATTGTCGTTTTAAAGATACACAAAACAATAACTCAAAATGTACCTGATAATTTTAACACTAACACCTGCAGGCCACCATTTAAATAATATTATAAAATAGTCTATCCTCTAGTTGCATCTAAAACATCTAAAAAGTATTATTACATAATAAATTACATTATAAACAGGTATAATCTAGCCGAGTCTTGAGTCTCTTGCCTCTCGAAGTATTTTTAAGTTGTGTTTCAAAAACTCTTGAGTCGAATTTTTTTTTATTTCGTTTGAGGTTAGATTTATGGAGACTACGGTTGTGTAGATGAATACAGTCAGTATTGAGTATTCCAGAATTTTAAAACATTTTACATTTGAAAAGTTTACAACTATCCTAATTTTTGGCGAGATAAACTTTGTTATGGAACTGCAGTTATATAAATACAAATTTACTAAAATATTAAGCTTCTAATGTTTAAAAGAAGAAATTAGCAAGCTGATATTTAAGTAGAACTGAATGATTATGAAAATTAACTTTAAAAAATTGATACAATACCATGAAAACCCGTAACCTGCAAGATTTTTGTAAACAACCAATACCAATTATTAAAAACCATCGGATCAAATAGTGAGTAGGTTTTTGAAATTCAATGAATATTTTTTTATTAGTATAAAATAAAATTTTTACAAAAATGTTTATTTCCAAACTATAGTGACTCTTTATTAAGGTCTTACATTTTCTATGTGGCTATTCCTCGTAAGCAACATAAGTTATTTTGATATATTATATAATGAATAATACTAATTTATTTACACTGTGTTGAAAAAAAAAAAATAGAAAAATTACGTTATGTGTTTCAACAAAATATATATTTGTTCATGAATGAGAAAAAATGGAACCATAAAATTAATATATATAATAAAAAGATTTTATTTTTTATTTGAAAAATAACGTTAATGTTATATAAATTTTGTACATAATATTATCACGATATATATTTTTATCTCTACAAACTGTATAACTTCATATATTATCGCCGTTTTTGCTTAAAAGTAACTGTTATATCGTTTTTAAATTTTAATTGTATTATTATTTCAGGTTTTCTAACTGATGGTAAAATATTTTCTCCTAAAGGTTATTTCAAGAGAAAAATTTTTTTAATCGTTAAAGTAGGTTCAATTATATTAACATGTTATTAAAGATTTTTTTATTTTAAAAACAGATTGTCTATTTTTCATAAATCTTCGCATATTTGTGTGGGGATTGCAGGTCAACATTTCATTTTGTGATGGCGACGCAACGGC